TGCAAATAGCACACTCGCAACACGAGAAATTTGTACCATCTTTTTTTTACAGATTCACTTAAGTAAAACAGCAATGTGTCAAAAAATAGAAACATATCCTTTTTTAGTTTTTTTTTGGAGAAAGTACTCAACTTCTGGGGTTATTTTTGGTTGAATGGCTGACATACTCAATAGGGATTACATAAGGGTTACATAATGATGTGCATATAGCAGACTCATAACACGAGAAATTTGTACCATCTTTTTTTTTTATAGATGTACTCAAGTGAAACAGCAATGTTCTCAAAATAGAAGTCATGTGAACCATATCAAACGACATAATTACACTTTAGTACCAGTACACTCGCATTCTATGAATCGTGATAAAAAAGAACATGCAGCTTTGCTGCAGATGTACATATACGGTACATACATATAGAACTTTGGTCAACAAAACCCCAAATCTCTCCTCTTTTTTAAAAATCAGAAATGACCTTTTTTTAAACCAGAAATAGCCCTTTTTAAAACAATTTTTCTTAAAGCAACATATTCTGAACCTTTTGGTTCCCCAAAATATTAATTTTTTTTCGCTCAAGAATTGTACAATATTTGATTTTTTTTTAAAAACAGAGAATGTCAATATTATATTTATGGCGTTGCCTTTAATGTTCAAGCTTTGTAGCTTATTTCTTCCCTGACTTTTTTTTGCTAGAAATGAAATAAATGTATTCAAAAGTTTGATGACTTTGAGTCTGGGTTGAACGGCCCGCGACACCCAGCATCTTCATTCAGTTGGAGATTAAGCTCCTATTACATAACCGCTATGCCACAAAAAATGTCCGAGTTGATCGTTCAGGAGTTCAAGCCCACGCAAATTTTGAAACCAGTAATTCTGCCAACGGGATGTCAAATAGTTTTCATCCATTTAAAAGGAGTAAAAAGTTGCACAAAAAATGTTCCCAAGTTAATTTCAACGTCATGGGCCCTTTAACTACCAGAATAGTGAACCGTTAACCCTAACCCACCTCACTCCTCCAAAATCCTCCTGGCGGTTTTGGAGGATTCTAGAGGATTGAGGATGAATGGTGATTGAATCAAATGAGGATTCTGGAGGATTGAGGATGAATGGTGATTGAAGCACATGAGGATTTTGGAGGATTGAGGATGAATGCATTTTGAGGCAGGACTGTCTGATGATTTTGAAGGATTTGGCGTCGGTTATCCTTCATTTAAACACGAGTGCAAAGTTTTGGGATGAGGAGGATTTTGGAGGATTGAGGATGAATGCCGAATTTGAGGCAGGACTGTCTGACAATTTTGAAAAATTTAGGCGGAGTTGCAAAATTTTGGAGGATTTTGGAGGATTGAGGATGGTTGTAAGCAACAAGGGCCTAGGGGGTTAGGGTTAAGTTTGAAAACCAGTGTACAGTTTGACATTTGGTCAAAATTTACTGTCCTATAGTGTGCCCATGCTAATGATTTTTTCCAACTCATATTATCAATTAGGTTTAGACTCCCTCTGAAGGCTATATGTGCAGTGATCCATAACATCATGGCTCACACCAAAGCCTTTGACATTTGAAACCCCTATCAAGTGATTCAACAGAACATCTCAATTATTTCCGCATCCGAATTATGTGGCTACGGCAAGCAATAATTCACACGAGCCTATGGCAGCCCCTTCCCATAGATCGTGTGTTAATGCTAGCCGCAGTCTCAAACTTCAGAGCCAGTCTTAATTTTACACACCCTAAAAATACTGCGAGTTAAACTTGCTGGCAGTATTTCTACAGTCAGTTAGTTTAGTTAGCACACTTTTCAGTTCACGTAAAGAGGTTGTGGAATGCTCGAAGACATTTCCGTCATGTTTCGGGTATATGTAGCCTAAGGTGTGATGAAATAAAAACAACTATTGTGTCTGTCATGAAGTGAGTACAAAAGGTACGTTTGAGAGCTGTTTTTCAGGTCCTGTTTCGACCCGAACGTGCAATTTGTGTAAAAGTCGTCGTTGGGGGCAGCAAACAAAACATAGTAAATCGTGACGTAATAAACAGGACTCTTTTATGCTTCTCTGCATCGGGAGTCCTGTTTATTACGTCACGATTTACTGTGTTTTGTTTGCTGCCCCCAACGACGACTTTTACACAATATGCACGGTCGGGTCGAAACAGGACCTGAAAAACAGCTCTCAAAAGTACCTTTTGTACTCACTTCCTGACAGACACAATAGTCGTTTTTATTTCATCACACCTTAGGCTACATATACCCGAAAAACGACGGAAATGTCTTCGGGCATTCCACAACCTCTTTAACAAAGACCCCATATGACCCCCAGATGACCTTTGACCTCAAATGTCATCTGAAGTCCCGTATCCAAAGATTATTGTCATAAAGTTTGGTTGAGATTGAAGTCTGACTTTTCATAAGACAGCACTAAACAGTTAACCTAATGGAACACACGGACACACATAAGGAATTCACTATCGCAAGATCCCCTTTCTTGGCTTAAAGGGAATATACAACATTTGCAAACATCGAAAAATAAAACTACCAAGTTTTTACGAAATACCTTACTAGGATGTTGGTAAATGACAGTCTAAAACATCCTGTAAAATTATGGCACCTGGTGTTAAGTCATTTGTATAAATTTCCAACAGTGGTCTGCCGACCACCATTGGAAAACCTAACTATTTTTCAACTACTGCTCCAAATTCACCATTTTTTTCGGTCCAAATTTTGTTTGCTATTGGTTACATGTTTATGAACGGGTGCAGGCCAGCTAGACTTACAATTTTCCGGCATCTATAAATTCATCCATTTTATATTTAGTGGAGTCAGGGGAACCAGACTACTCCACCCTTTGTGTTTTTCTTGGTTTTTCAGCATTTTTGAACACAAAACTTCAAACATGTCAGTGTAACAATATTTGATCTATTATAGTAACCCCTCAAATAGTTCATTTCTGAAAATTACAGCAAAAGCCAATGATGTACATTCCCTTTAAAGGGAAAGTATATTTGTTTATGCTGCAATTTTCAGAAATACATGTGTAAATGGATTTGGAGGAGCATGTTATAGAAAATATTGTTAAACTGACTTGCTTCTCGGAGCAATTTATAGACTTTGGAGATTTGTATTACAATGTAGGTCAGAAAATCAGTCTAGCAGGCTTGTACCATTTCACAGGTGTATAAACAATTGCAAAGAAAATTCGGAATAAATAAAGATGAAAAATTAGGAGCGGTTTTTGAAAAAAAAAGCCAGTTTTCTCCAGCGCTGGTCGGCCGACCAGCATTGGAAAAATACTTGTTTTCTTGAAAATGTCAGCACACCAGGAGCCACAATTTTACAGGATGCTTAAGACTGTCATTCCCCAACAATCCAGTGAGATATTTCGTGATAATTTGATCATTTCGTTTTTTGATGTTTGCAAATGTTGTATCTTCCCTTTAAAAGCTAGGGGGATAAAAATAACCAGTTTCTAATATCGCCTTAGCAGTTAAAATACATTTGCTGGGTCCTACGAAATAAAATCTCCTAAAATATCATCCATTACGTAATAGGAGCGTCTATTCTCTGATCTCTTACTCAATTGAAATGCGGGTCTAATTTCATTGAGCTTTATGGCCACAGAAATAAATACTTTGCAAATGTGCTTGCTATTAAGCGGGCAGATGCAGGGAGCCAGTCAAAAAATTATATAAATCACGGGGCATTGTTGGCAGGTTACCGGTTTAGCTTATAGCACAATGTGTCTGTGCTCAGAAATTTTGCTTTTGAGAAAACGTTCAGTAGTTCACTATTGAATTCTGGTGCCATTTTACACAACGATGACAGTGCTATTAATGGACACTGCATCCTGGAAAGTGCCAAATAGACCCTTATCATGTTGCGGCCATCTTGAATTTTTTTTCCCATTCAAATCAATGTAACCAAAGCGAGGCTGGAAGGAAAAATAGTCTGGTTCCTCTTTGCACAAAAAAACCATCATCGTTCAGTACTGTTATTGGATACAGGGAACATGACTGAAATGGTGGCAACATTATAAAGGCCTACAAAATGTGTTTTCAGGGAAATTATGTTAATCGGAAAGAACATGGCGCGGATCCAGAGGGGGGATTTTGGGGGTAAAAAAAAAAAAAAAAAAAACCAGCTCTGTAAAAAAAAAAAAAAAAAAAAATCGTTGAATTTGAACAGCGTCCCCTATTGAAATATGGTACCCCCCAAGTTTTTTTCTCCGGACACTTAGCGGAGAAAAAAACCTGTGTACATTTTCATCTCCTATTTCAGGAGATGTTCTGAAATTTCAATTTATTAAATTTCAGATTTTTACTTAATAATACAATAATACTGGAGTCTTATATAGCGCACGTATCTACCAACAATGAGGTACTCAAGGCGCTGGAAATTATGTATTTATTTTTAAAGACAGGTAAATGAAGTTTATGAGAAATATGAGACCCATTATGTAGCACCTATAAGGGTTTACAAGGTGCTGCGGCGCATATTGCAGCCACTGCCAGAAACACCGGGGCAAACCCCTTCTCTTAGCGATAAGTGTTACTGGGTTCTTGAACGTGCATTACACAACACACGGGACCTACGGCTTTACGTCCCATCCGAAAGACGAAGCAATAATGGTAAAGTGCCTTGCTCAAGAGCACAAGCACCATGTTCCCACTGTCAGGATTCGAACCCATGTACCACGGCACACGAGTCGAACACCGTAACCATTGGACCACAGCACCCCACACTAAATGTTCAACAAAATTTCATGTCCCATATTGAATGAAAAAAGTTAATAACTGTAATTATGTAATGCACTTCTAAGAACAAAAATTTATTTTACACTTCAGTTTGTGGGAGTAATCAACAGAGGGCGGTCTTCATTAAAGAGGCTGGTTGGTTCATTGCATTTGGTTAATCATTGAGGGCGCTATTGATGCTAGTAGCTACCACATGTTAAAGTAGTTCTACTAATTACTTGTTCGGTGAGAATTGAAATGGAATGGATATCTTACCTCAATGGACGTCTTGTAAGTCTGCGCCTTGACAGCGTACGGATCCCAGACTCCCTTCTCCTCCATATCCACAATAGTTCCCTTCTCACCGTCGATTCCCCAGGCAAAGTTACTGGCCTCAACGTGCTTAGCCTGAAACGGCACAAACATTAACAATTTGATTTTACATTGATGAATACTCAAAATGAGTGAAGTCTCATATGAAGTCTCATATCTAGTGATGGCTTACTGCCCACGGAATGCTGGGTTTTAATTCAAGCAAGTGTAGATCATTTGTGCATTTGTTTTGTTTGAAGCAACAAAAGTGCTCAAAATCTAGGATTCGGATGCAGTCTGACTTACCCTGAGTGCGGTGAGTGTACGTATTGTGCTCCCTCCACAGTTTTGTATAAGAGTCCTAGGGATGACCTCCAATGCCGAGGCTACGGCGCGGTACGGCCATTGCTGGACACCGGTTATACCCTTGGCTTTCTCTGTCAATGCCTAGGAGAGAAAGATAACAGTAGATATAGCTGTGTCAGGATTGAGTGACAAGTTGTTAAGACTTTATAAAGTTAAGTCTGTCACAAGCCAATGTGGCCCATCAGGCCAGCGTTTATCTCCAGTTTCAGTAGCATGAAATGCTGAGAATATTTCTACTCCCCCTGGATGGGATGCTAGTCCATCGCAGGTTACTCCCCAGCTAATGCTGGAACCATTTATACTTCTGGGTGCAGAGAGGCAAGTGGGGTAAAGTTGCTTGCCCAAGGACACAACATATGGCCAGCAGGCTGGATTTGAATGTGATGGACATGCGATGGACTTGCGATGGACTTGCGATGGGCTTGTGATGGGCTTGTGATGGACTTGCGATGGACTTGCGATGGACTTGCGATGGACTTGCGATGGACTTGCGATGGACTTGCGATGGACTTGTGATGGGCTTGTGATGGGCTTGTGATGGACTTGTGATGGACTTGTGATGGACATGTGATGGACTTGTGATGGACTTGTGATGGGCTTGTGATGGACTTGTGATGGACTTGTGATGGACTTGCGATGGACTTGCGATGGACTTGTGATGGACTTGCGATGGACTTGCGATGGACTTGCGACGAACTTATGATGGACTTGTGATGACTTGTGATGGACTTGTGATGGACTTGCGATGGACTTGCGATGGACTTGCGATGGACTTGTTATGGACATATGATTGGTGATTAACATATGATTTACCCAGTAAATGTGCTTAAGATGCATTATCAGCACCAATTACTCATTCTCTAAATGCAGCATATATGTGTAAGACTTGTCATGGTTACCAGGGAATCACACACTTACATGAGACAGTGCCATTTCAATGGCGCCACCGCCGGGTACCAGGTAAGGCTCCATTATGATGTTACGAGCTGAATTCATCGCATCTTGGAGATTCCTCTCCACCTCGTTCAAGATGTCCTTGCTAGCACCCCGCAGCAAAATGGTACAGGCCTTTGGGTTCTTACACTTGGTGATGTAGGTGAAATATCTGTAAACAAAGGGATACAAATTATGTTGAATATGCTGGTAAACCCCTTCAGTAGAATGGTAGAGGCCTTTGGATTCCCACATTTCTTAACATGGGTAAAATATTGTTAGACATATAAAAACAATTTGTGTTTTTAACATAATTTCTGGGGAAAAAAATTCTTGTAACCCCTTCAGCAGAATGGAACAGTTGTTTCAATTGGATTCCCGTGTAAAACACTAATTTTTTAATGCAATCCTTGAAAATGCACTTTTGTGTCCCATTTAACCTTATTTTCAATTTTCGTTTTGCCATTTTCAAGGGTATTTTGGTGCCTTTTTGGTTTTTATGCTCATGCCAATTTTCATATTCATGAGCAAAAGTGAGATGTCATTTCAGGCAGAAACCTTAATGTTACAGCTTGTGTTACACTACAAGTTTCCAGAATTTTGGATATTTTGCTGTCGTAAATTTTGTCTTTAGTGATTCATCGTTGTGTTGGTACATGACAATAAGGCAATGAGCAAACTTTTCTCACAGATGTTTTCAACGAGCAAATTTTGGGTTCACAATTTGAACAGAAAACCCTAAACTGAACAGTGTCTTCCTGAAATGACATCACAGCAACAGCGCCCTCAGTTGTCCAAAAAAGCACAGCAATTTAATTTTTTTAAAGAATTGCACTTCTCCAAAAATTTAACAAAAAGGGATGTCAAATAGTTTCCATACATTTAAGAGGAGTAGAAAGTTGCCCAAAATGTGTTCATAACTAAAATTCATGTCACGGCCTTTTAGAAAAACAAAATATTGATTTCAGATGAGAAGCTTTGACGACGCAAAGTTCAACTCAAGCTCCTTGACTTACTCATCCCCGATCTTCTCGACCTCAAACAGCCCGGCTCCCGTTCCGATATCTTCCTCTCTCAGCTCGTCAGTACGGTTGACGATGGTAGCGCCACAGGCTCTGAGTATCAATCACAGACAAAACAAACGAATAAATGACTTGCTTTCATGGTTGGCTCTTTGCCTGCTGTTGAAAGACAATGGAATAAAACATTTCGTTATACTTAATACACTACACAAATAATTAATGTTTGTGACCTGTTCTGTCAAAAGCAGACGCTTCTGGGCCGAGTTTGAAATTGAGATAGGGCCAAAAAACGCTGTGGGCTGATTTTTTTCGATTTTCTAATTTTTGCAAATTTGTAATCCTGAACATGTCTAAAATATACTATAAAAGTTTGAAACCCTAATTTGAACTCTAAATATGGTATTTTTGATGATTTGTTGAGGTATATCAGTTAAAGAAATTACTGTTTTGTGACGTTTGTGGCCATTTTCTCCGTTTTCTACTTTTCGACACACTGAACTTCAAAATAGCATAACTCTGCCCAGGAATTACAGGTTTCAAAAATTAAACCACCTCTTAAAAGGAAAATGTACATATTTTAACAGTATGCAAAAATCTCGTTTTGGACCTCATGCCCAGAAAAGTCTGACTTTGACAGAACAGGTCACGTTTATTGAGTACAATGGCAAGAATAATTTTCCTCGTGGAATGGAACATTCCATCTGTCACCGAACGAAATTATTCTTTCCCTTGCACAAAATTTGAAACATTCATTCCTTGTGTCAGTGCAACGCCATTCTGCAAGACAGTCGTATCTCGCATGAAAAAGCTCCGTGCAACGAGGTCGTATCTTGCGTATCAAGACGTCCACTGACATTGTGTGTACATCCGGGTTATTTTAATCGAGATACAAACTTTTGACATTGAAAACTCTCGTTTCAAGTTCACGACATCACGCGCTATTTTAGGAGATACGACCTTGTTGCATGGACGCGACGAATTGTTGGTTTTATACAATGCTTGAATAAATGTTAGTCATCTGGTCAGAGCCACCAATCATGTGACCATGCAATGGAACTTCTATTTACTGCTAAATAGAACTTCTATTTTTGCGGCGCGGTCGGGCCGTGGGTTAGGACGAATAATTCAATGACATGTGATCAACGACCCACCACACAGATGACGGAATTTGTTCAGGGGATGTTTGAATCTTTTGCCTATGTACAGTATACACAAAATCTGAGTAAAAGTGTTTGAACCTTTTGCCAAAGTAAGATTTAAAGAAACAGCGCGGATGTGCCATCACGTGTTAGTAAGAACCACATTTCCATCAGAGGCCCAGTGTATGCACAGAGAAAACAACATTTTTTTTGGTCCCATTTTCACACAAATCTGAAGAACTTCTTTAATATAAATGGTTTGACAGAGGCAAAAAAGGTTCAATTGCGAAACTCACCTCGCTACTCTGTTGTTGTCTGATTTTCGTAGTCGTCGGATTGCCGTGATATTTGCTTTAGCCAAATAATGTTGGGCTAAGTCTGTATGGGTAAAAAAACAAGTCCAAAAGATAAAACACCAACAGAAGTACAACAATAACACGATACGTTTCAAATCGAAATCATCTTCCAAGAGACTGAAGTTATAATCAGGCATGCAACTGGGAAATCACAAAAAAAGAGGAAATTCACATTTTTCCCAGACTTTGTACAGTGTTTTTCTATTTTCAATGGCACACATGGGAAGTACAAAAAGAGGAAATCAGCTGATCCGAGGAAAAGTTGCATGCCTGTATAATATTAGAACTAATGTGCTGATTACGCAGTTTTTATACCAAAGGTCTCAAAGCGCTCCACAATTATTACCCCTGTTCATCAGGCCATGAGACCAGTTTCTGCAGCAGCTCAAGATCAGCGCATTCCGATCTCCACCTTCACAGGTACCCATTTATACTCCTGGGTGGAGAGAGGCAATTGTAGTAAAGTGTCTTGCCCAAGAACACAAGCACCATGTTTTCCATCAGGGTTGGAACCCACGAACACTGTAACCATTGCGCCACAAAAGTAAGCGTTCTTTCAGCAAAACGAAAACAAATCACATAGGGATGAGTGTGAATTGTTTTCGTTTGCTGAAAGAACGCACTTTTTTATGATCCGTGGACAGAACTTTAAAACGGCGGTTGTGTTTAAAATTCCGTAGCTTGAAAAGTACACGAGTGACCTGAATAATTCTAGTACTAAAAGAAAGCTTATGAATTGGGCTTTCAGATCCTAGATTTTGAAAGTGCTACATGCAGAACTTCACTAAAACAATAGTCCCGACATTTGGGTTTCATTTTTTTTAACTCACCCTGTACAAGCACAGTTCAATTAATCCCAGCACTATATGATTTTATGGATTTATTAGAGAATAAACACAATGCATTACATATACAGCGTGTGTCAATAAAAACGCAGGATTAGAAACAAAAATATTAAGAATATAAACCACCCCTATTCATCATAATGTTAACCCTCTTTTCAAAGTACCTTTCCTTCTCTTCACTATGCTTTTTATCCCATCTCATTTGGACAATCCTGTCCAGAGATAGAGTACATTGAAGAAGGGGTATAAATTCCAAGCTGGTCTGATTTGTGAAATCACACATACCTAATGAAAGGTTTGAATTCAGTACAGGTGAAAGTATTTGTGGATCACAAAGAAGGACATGTGTGGCAGGATTAGGCTTACATAATCCTTTAGTCCACAATCAATGTTATTAGTCAATAATTGCCCAAGTGATGCTTTGAAACAATGATAGTCCAGTTATTAAATTTAAGTGATACTTATCATCAGTTGTTTCAAAGAAAGTTTTGCTCTGGTTTAATTGTCTTCAATGCATACCTGCATTGTACATAACTGGTCGTTGTGTTAAGGTCATTGAATCAGACCAACCTGCTTCAGAAGGGCTTCACAAAACTTGACATAACTTTTGAACCAAAAGTCCAAATTCCACCAAACAAAAATCTTGTCAAAGATGAAATTATGGACAATCAAATCCTTATCAAATTAGGAACACCAGTAGCATAATTTTCTCAGAAAAAAAATCGCTTTGAATCCTGCGTTTTTATTGACACACGCTGTACATGTAGTACAGTGCCAAACAGGTGCATCAATCAATTAACTTGACTTAGTGCCAAGACAAGCCAACTCACCCGATACCCCCTTCTCTGTGATAATCAAGTCCGGTTTGAGAGCTATGATCTCCCCACAGACACGCTGGATATACTCCTCCTCAAGCTGCAAGATGCGGGTGAAGTCTTCTTCCCTGCTAATTTCTAGACTCGTCTGGAAATTAAGAAAAAACAAAGTCTGTGATAGAGTGTCATTCACTTTTAAGTTATCAATAGCGCCCCCAGGGTTCTTAATGCGTTGAGGCATATGTGGGTGCACGACGTCTTTGTTGAATAAACGGTGCCCCCTAGTGTCATGTTTTAACGATGTTATACCCGACTCTCCTTTCTTATACTCCTAGGAACAATCTTGGAGCATGAAGTAAGGTTTCTCAATGCGTCGACGAATACGACGGTTAGCGACGTCTCTGTAGAATAAACAGCGCCCCCTAGTGTTGATTTTATTACAATGTCTTACCTGACTCTCGCCTTTCTTGTACTCCAGGGAGAAATCTAGGAGCATGATGCATGGGATCTCAATGCGTCGACGCATGTGTGGGTGCGTGCATCTTTGTAGAATAAACAGCGCCCCCTAGTGTCACATTTTAACCATGTCTTACCAGACTCCCCTTTCTTATACCCCAAGGAACAATCTAGGAGCAAGATGCAAGGGATCTCAATGCGTCGACACACGCGAGGGTGCGTGACGTCTTTGTAGAATAAATGCGCCGACGCACGTGTGGGTGCGCGACGTCTTTGTAGAATAAATGCGTCGCGCACGTGTGGGTGCGCGACGTCTTTGTAGAATAAATGCGTCGACGCACGTGTGGGTGCGCGACGTCTTTGTAGAATAAATATGTCGACGCACGTGTGGGTGCGCGACGTCTTTGTAGAATAATTGCGTCGACGCACGTGTGGGTGCGCGACGTCTTTGCAGAATAATTGCGCCGACGCACGTGTGGGTGCGCGACGTCTTTGTAGAATAAATACGTCGACGCAAGTGTGGGTGCGCGACGTCTTTGAAGAATAAATGCGTCGACGCACGTGTGGGTGCGTGACGTCTTTGTAGAATGAATGCGTCGACGCACGTGTGGGTGCGCGACGTCTTTGTAGAATAAATGCGTCGACACACGCGAGGGTGCATGACGTCTTTGTAGAATAAATGCGTCGATGCACGTGTGGGTGTGTGACGTCTTTGTAGAATAAATACGTCGACGCACGTGAGGGTGCGTGACGTCTTTGTAGAATAAATGCGTCGACGCATGTGTGGGTGCGCGACGTCTTTGTAGAATAAATACGTCGACGCACGTGTGGGTGCGCGACGTCTTTGTAGAATAAATACGTCGACGCACGTGTGGGTGCGCGACGTCTTTGTAGAATAATTGCGCCGACGCACGTGTGGGTGCGCGACGTCTTTGTAGAATAAATACGTCGACACACGTGTGGGTGTGTGACGTCTTTGTAGAATAAATGCGTCGACGCCCGTGTGGGTGCGCGACGTCTTTGTAGAATAAATACGTCGACACACGTGTGGGTGCGCGACGTCTTTGTAGAATAAATACGCCGACGCACGTGTGGGTGCGCGACGTCTTTGTAGAATAAATACGTCGCGCACGTGTGGGTGCGCGACGTCTTTGTAGAATAAATACGTCGACGCACGTGTGGGTGCGCGACGTCTTTGAAGAATAAATGCGCCGACGCACGTGTGGGTGCGTGACGTCTTTGTAGAATAAACAGCGCCCCCAGTGTCACCTTTTAACCATGTCTTACCTGACTCTCGCCTTTCTTGTACTCCAGAGAGCAATCTAGGAGCATGATGCGAGGGTTTTCAATGCGACGACGCATACGCGGGTGGGTAACGTCCTTGTTAAACATCACGCCATCCAAGACGCGAGAATCCTCAATGGTTCCACCAGGAACCTAAAAAAGATTTGAAAAATTAAAAAATAATATATAACGTCATTTTCAAGCGACGTAGTTTGCCTCCATGCCCCCCATCTTTCTTCTACAGCTGAGCCACACCCACCCCATGGCAAAAAAAAATTTGACTAGATTTCAAATAAGTTAGGTTTTCTGGTTGTTCTGAACTACAGTTTTCACACAAAAATTTTGTTTTTACCTTTTCCACCTTGGCATATCGTTTGATGTCAATCTCCTTACGCCCGTTTTCGTCAAGCGTTACCTTGGTAACGGCATTATAAGCAATGTCACAAGCCAAGGTGCCCCTACATAGAATAAAAACAATATAAAAGTCTTATTTGAACGCAGAAAAAGACAATTTCAAATCTTACTTAATTTTGAATCTAATGATTTCGTGTAAGGTATGCTTAATAAAGGTACAGTATATAATTTGCAGCTATCCAAAAAGTAACTGACCAAATTATTGTTGAAAAGAACGCTTGCTTTAAAGATCAGTAATGGCACTAAACTCCCTGTGAAATTGTTCTTTCTGGCATGCTGTCATTTTAATGAAAACAATGAAAGGTCGTTTCCAAAGATGCGTCTAAAGACGCATTTTTGGATATTTCTGTTAGCAGTCGTTTTTAACTCCGGGAAGCGGTGAATGGACGCGCGCAAGCGTTGACACAACGCACACATGGTTGCTATAATTCGTTGATTCAGCGCGTGATATCGTGTAGCTGCAATTGACTGAATGAGAACGTGTCTCGGACGCTGATTTCTGGCCCAATTCAAAACATGACTGGGCAACTTTTGAATTGAAATCGAGATCCTAGAATATTGTTTTGTCAGAATACACAGCTTTCACCGAGTTGAAACTTCCTCAGGTTAGTTGCTAAGCACCCGTCTTTAGAATTTGAGCACTTTTGTTGCTTCAAACGAACATAATGCACAAATGACAAACAGTATACTCTGCCTTTAAAAAGTCAGTGATTTAAAGTAATATTTGGCCAAGTTCGCGCAAGGACTATAGTTGACCAATGGTTAACTAACGTTTGCCCGAACTCTGTCTAGTCAACGGTGATTGACTACGCTAGTCGACTATTTGGAACCAGCCTACTGGGGTTGGTTGCTTCGCTGGTAACCAATAGCCGCGCCCATTCATAGCTCTAGCAGAGAGCCAGGATCCAGAAGTTTTGCGATGACATTTTGACCAGCGTTTGACTAGAGACGTTCCCACGTTGCTACCAGTGCGCAGGCGTAAGGTACGTCACAAATCAACCACTAGTCGACTAATGGTCCTTGCCCGAACTTGGCCTTTGTCAGCCTCCAATAATTTTTTTTGACAACAGCGCCCTCATGTGTTCACAGATGTCCAACATGAATCCCATGATGGCAATATATACTTTGTTCACGAGTCGGCGATATTAAATTGAAAGCGAGGTAAACACTTCATTTGTGGAACTTGCGAACAAAAATGAAAGCAATAAAATAAAAGTTCGGTTCGAATTAATACCAGTCTGCTCTGATGAATAATTAAAATTTGTGATATGTTTTAAGCCACATATAAAAAAATATTGAGGCTTGAAACACACTCCAATCATAAAATAGTCTGGCACCATCCCATTCAACAGTTGACAATTCATAAAATAGATACAGGGAACAAGATCCAAAATGACTTCCTCGACAATAATCCATTGACTTATCGTCACAAATACTCAAAATATTCCAAATTTAATCGGAATCATATTTTTTTTTAAAACGTACCATTTGCTGATGAACTTTGTTCCAACGCAGCTTTGGATGATTTGAATCATTTCATCACGCTTGGTGACGTCAACCTTTTTGCTGTAAAAATAAAGAAAACAGTATCGTTAAACCACTTTGTGCCAGAATTATTGTTGCCGAAAAGTTTCGATTTTCGCAAAAGGCAAAGTTTTTCAGCCAGCTTCTGATATACAGCCAAACGCCACAGATACTGATTCGCAAGAGTCATTTCAACAGTACATGTATTTGTACGATATTTCTTGCTGAAAACTCATATGTTTCAGTACTCTGAGGTGTGCACTGGAGCGTAAATTGTACAATAAGGCGTTCACAATGGCCAATTCAAGATCAACACACAGTCCGCCTCCACAGACTTCACAGACTTTGTATGTGTGTACAAAAGGCACAAGGGATTAGCATGTTTAGACGTCACCCAGAGGCGAGTCAAGGCAATCTTGACGTCTTAAAGAGGTTGTGGAATGCTCGAAGACATTTCCGTCATTTTTCGGGTAAATGTAGCCTAAGGTGTGATGAAATAAAAACGACTATTGTTTCTGTCATAAAATGAGTACAAAAGGTACTTTTGAGAGCTGTTTTTCAAGTCCTGTCACGCCTGTTTCGACCCGAACGTGCAATCTGTGTAAAAGTCGTCGTTGCGGGCAGCAAACAAAACACAGTAAATCGTGACGTGATAAACAGGACTCCCAATACAGAGTAGCATAAACGAGTCCTGTTTATTACGACACGATTTACTGTGTTTTGTTTGCTGCCCGCAATGACGACTTTTACACAAATTGCACTTTCGGGTCGAAACAGGACCTGAAAAATAGCTCTCAAAAGTACTCTTTGTACTCATTTCATGACAGAAACAATAGTCGTTTTTATTTCATCACACCTTAGGCTACATATACCCGAAAAATGACGGAAATGTCTTCAAGCATTCCACGACCTCTTTAACCCATCAGCTGTGCCTGTGTATAAAAACAGCCAGTACTGTTATCACGTCCTCCGACGCGAACTGGTTTAAAAAATCCTGATTTATGGTACAAAAGAATTACTGTACAATCAACGTTTGGATGTGAACCCCAGACCGTCTTACCTGAATGAGTTTTTCATGATGTCCAGCATATCGTCCATAGCTTCTCTGTAAGCCGCGATGATGACGGTAGGATGCATTTCTTGCTCAAGAAACGGCTGAGACACGGCCATCATCTCCCCAGCTACAAGGAGAACAATAAAGAAGTTGCCATAATCAACTTAAGTTCCTTAATTAACCCTAACCCACCTCACTCCTCCAAATTCCTCCTGGCGGTTTTGGAGGATTCTAGAGGATTGAGGATGAATGGTGATTGAATCAAATGAGGATTCTGGAGGATTGAGGATGAATGGTGATTGAATCAAATGAGGATTCTGGAGGATTGAGGATAAATGGTGATTGAAGCACATGAGGATTTTGGAGGATTGAGGATGAATGCATTTTGAGGCAGGACTGTCTGATGATTTTGAAGGATTTGGCGTTGGTTATCCTTCATTTAAACACGAGTGCAAAATTTTGGGATGAGGAGGATTTTGGAGGATTGAGGATGAACGCATTTTGAGGCAGGACTGTCTGACAATTTTGAAAAATTTAGGCGGAGTTGCAAAATTTTGGAGGATTTTGGAGGATTGAGGATGGTTGTAAGCAACAAGGGCCTAGGGGGTTAGGGTTAAAGAAACCAAATTACAACATTTGTAATTCATTTAATTCACACGGCTAATTTGACTAGGTGCACTACGTATCATTATACAACTGACATACAGATCCTTCTCATTTGTGGAACTCACATCACGTGACATTCTTTATTGCTCCCATTCACGCCGGATTCAAAAAGTCCCATTCGCCCACAGGGAATGGGAAATACTATTGAACAGTTAGGATCATTGTTGTTCCATGGCGCGGTGTCTGTGTGCAAATCCATGCTGGTGTGCACGTTGAGCCTTGCGCGTATTGTTCCCAAGAGCCAGTAGCTACAGAGTTGGGTTCAAACATTTCGTGAAGGGGTGGTTTGGAAGAGAGAAGTACATTTCGCACCAATTTTGTATTGAAATGGAAGTTTATTTCAACTGTAAATCAAATGACAAGGATCTATATGTCAGTTGTATATAAAACAAATATTGAGTGGCTTTAAATTGTGAAATGTGAGGAATATTATCGCTCGGTAAAATCTGGACTTTTCAATTTCATAAATCTCCCGTTTTTGCGTTTAACGTTTGCTGTATAATGAAATCAAACTCAGCGGCAACTTCTGCTTGTGACTCAAAATAAAAACATCGCGAAATTCCAAGTGGCGTCGCTTTGTGCTCTGCGTTCGCTGGAATTCGCGCTTTACCCCAATGTAAAACCTCAAAAGAAACCATCATTCTGGACAAACTCTCAGTGCTGAGATTTATTTTTAAAAGTTTGAGCACTATGCTCCCGAGAGAAAGCTGTGGAAAAATGGGACTTCAGATTTTGTTTTAAAATCAAGGTGTCATCTTTATGGTCTTTAACTTTTACATGGGATAATCGATACATCAAATTCTATCATTCTCGATATTGGATTTCCGATATATAGATTAGTGAAAATTCTGAGATCGATGGTACTTAGCATGACCGCTTATCAGAAACTGGCATCTTTCTTTTGATTTCAAGACATCTGGTCTTACCTAAGATGATAACTGATGTAGTTCCATCTCCAACCTCTTCATCCTGAGTGCGACTGATCTCAATCATGGACTTAGCTGCCGGATGCTGTACAGTGATCTATCAGACACATCAAACACAAATAATCGGGTCATTCTATAAATTGAGGGTCCAAAGTGTGACATTTTTCCTGTCCTTGTTAGGCCAAAAAAAAAATATTCGGTCTCTGGTCAGACCAAAGTTCCGGAATTGACGCGGCCACGCGGCTTTTCTTCTTTTTTTTTCTTCAAGCTTGGATTGTACAGACAAGGTGGGTACTATTTTGCTTTTTTGGTGTCCTCATGTACATTGGTGTCCTCCATAATTTGCCTTGGTGCTTTCGATCATTTGCCTTGGTGCTATTTCCCAATCATTCGCCTTGGTGCTCTTTGATAAAAAAAATTGAGGAGGTGCGGAAATAGAAGGCGCTGTTGGAGCTACCGCGGAACATTTTGGAAAAAAAAAAGATCGACGCGCATGCTTAAAATCGACGCGCGCTGACCAGAGACCGACTTATTTTTTTTTGGCCTTACCTTGGTACTTTGTAATTTGCCATTCAAGTATCATGAAGAATGACTTCAAACGAATCATTCTTTGTTGGGTGGGTAGTTGCTACTGAGGTGTTTCACGCAATGTCACAGGCCAGTGGCCACATACACGCCCGCCATATTGGACGTCTACAGTTGCAGACTAGTAAGGGTGCAGACCAGTAAATCGGTCGGAAATTGCCTACTCCGGCCAAATCACGATTTGCATGCCCTCAAAATCTTCAGTATTTGAGCATGCTGTGGGCCATGAACTTGAGGGTTTGTAAAAAAATATGGGTGGAAGCCGTGCACAGGACTGGGAGCTTGCAGTTCTGTGTAATTTGGATGTAATTTGGACCCTAAAAGCGCTCTATTTTGCAATGGAGTGTATGCATCGTTTTTCAAAATGGTGATGGGCTTCAGGACTATTTTCAGGGGTGATCATCTTCAGATGGAAATTTCTCCTAAAAGTCATCAGTTGACCCCCCGAAAATTGAAAAGAAAATGAAAGCTGATGAAATAAGCTTTAATTTGATGTGTGTCTCGAACACCTTGGAGAGTTGTGAGTATTTTTCCCGAATTTCTGAAGTGGGAGCATTTACCATTGGGGTCTATGGAAGTTTATTTTCCGGTCTGCTACCGTAAATAAACTTCCATGGAGCCATGATAAATATGCCCAATTCCGAAATTCAGGAGAAATACTCACAAGTCTCCAAAGGGCAATTCCACGGTTACTCACGTTACATTTTTCATGTACTTTTGAGTTTCCTTGGGCTGTAATTACCTTACTGAAAAGGTTTAACCCTAACCGCCCTGAATCCTCCAAAATCCTTTTTGCAAATTGGAGGAATTTGCAGGATTGAGGTTACATGGCAAAAGTGCGTTGCTGATTTCGGAGTACGCACTGTGTCAAGGTCTTGGGCCGGACCTTGTGTTGTTTATGCTCAGCCGTGCATAAATTTAGTCCTTGATTATACTTGACATCCTCCCCACTGCTCCAGGATGTCACTGCCTCTGCCTCAGCCTATTGACAGTCATAGCTGGAGGATTTTGCAGGATTCAGGCAGTGGTCATCCCTCCATGAACCATATTCAAGAAATAACGGAGGAATTTGCAGGATTGAGGCTATATGCTATTTTTCCATGAGGCCAATTGGAGGATTTTGCAGGATTGAGGCTACATCCTAGCAAAAAGGCCTAGGGAGTTAGGGCTAATAACTGTTATCCCCATGGTAGATAGAGTAGACCTAGACCTACCTAAGCACCAAAGATGACATCCAGAAACATGTGTTATGTATGATAAACAAGACGCACAAAATCGGTTACTCACATTACGAAAATGTAACGTGAGTAACCGTGGAATTGCCCCCAAAGTGTTTGAGACACACATCAAATTCAAGCTTATTTCATCATCTTTCATTTTCTGTTGAATGTTTGGGGGTATCCCAAAGACTTTTGGGAGAGAAGTTAAATGTTGGTTGTGACAAATGCCACAGAACATGCAAGTTACATGGACTGTACGATTGATCGGGCACGCTAGACATCCAAAATATTGTCAATTGAAATGATTAATGTATCTACTTCTCAAACCCACATTGTGTATTGAGGTTTTTCTGCCTTTAGAAGAAAAAAAAAGATACACTGCAACTTGCTATGATGTCAAGTGAAACGAATAAACAAATAATTAAGAAATAATAAATAAATAAAAAAAATTAACCAGAAAACAATACAACAACATACAAACATGACAAACCGATCAAATAAACAAACAATGCAAAGCATATGTGACCGGCTCCACAAAAAAGGGTGTTCTGTTGTTCTACAACAAAGCCAGCTATTTTCAAAGCCTGTTTTTTCAGTTGTGCAATTTGAACTCCAAGTAAGTAATTAATATGCAAATATGTCATCTCTCCCGAACAGGAGGGGCTATGGAGCTCTATTATATACCAAATGAAAGCTTACGTTGTGGGCTTTCCAACCATGCATATAACTCAATTTCACTTTTTTTTGTGAAAAAATACTTTTTTTTGTGGAGCCGGTCATCATATGGGATTCTAAACAAAACAAGACAAACATACCAAATGCACACATTTCAAAATGCAAAATATTGATTTAAACAATAACACCCTTACCTCTCTGAGTATAGCGTTTCCATCGTTAGTCATGACTATACCACCCATGGGATCCATCAACATCTGTTAATAAAACCAAAGGGACAGACTTTGTTACCAATTTTAAATTTCTTTTGAAAAACTTTTTTTTTTTTTATGGTGTAGATTAAAGATTTGGCAATGTTTGTCTTGGAATATTCGACGTTACATGTACATGGAGAATTGCAAGTTAAACATATTATCGAATGCATTTTTTCCTTGGACATCGGAACATATGGGGATACAATAACGTACGCAGATTACAACACACCACGAAAAAGCGTGAAAACTCAAAAACCAATTCTTGTGACTTTTCAATCAAAAAAATTGGATTAACCCTCCCGCTGTTTGAACAGTCACAGACAATCAAAAAATCAATCCTCGTTTCCTGCCATGCCTTTACACAGGCTAGTCACCAACCATGCCAACAGTCAAATCATATTTTAAGCAAGCACTGTGACAAGTCAAATTCAGTCAACAGACAAAGCAGGCAAGTGGTAGGCACAGCTGGCTTATCAATCGCCTACAGTCAAAGCAAAGCTGTACCAAGTTACATAAACAGTCACAGCCAGTCAATCCTGCTTTATGTAGGCAGGGAGCCTTTAACTGTTGAAAACAATCACTTGACTGATTTTGACTGAAAGGACAACTAGGCACAGAATGCATACTTGCATAGGAGAGTTAAAAGTATTATTAATTAAAAGAATCATAAGAAACTATGAAAAAGCTCTAATTTCTTCTTAAACCCCAAAGGAACACTCTTTTGGTTATTAATCAAAATATTTTTTTTTCAGAGCTAACTTATGAACTGAACTCAAAATTGGCTTTGATTATTGTTATCAAATAAAATTCTGTATTGATTTTTGTATGGGTAATTTCGCAGTAATGTGCTTAATTAATTAAGACTCATTTTGTCAGCTGGATCGTCTGAGATTCTCGACTCTTTTTTACTGAAATGCAGCTGTTTACATCTCCGCTCTGAATGTTCTCGAGCGTTGCCTAACTACGCATCTTAGCCGGAGACAAGAGCGTCTCATGTTTAGCATAATGTCTTTTTAACTATACATTTAAGCCTCTGGGTGCGTTGTCCGTGAGCGCTCAACGTTAATTATGTAGGCGATCAATACTGTACGACTACATACAGCTGAACATGTACGTGAGTTAAACTTGACACACTGGTGAACAGTCTAAAGCTTGTATTGCCAAGAAATCTCCGATATGTTTGAATAATATACAAGGCTTGTGTGACCTTTGACCCCACAGCTCGTTATTTATGCCATCTGCAAACCACTGTGCTTAATCACTGCCATTAAGCAGTCAACTACCCGCTGTATTTAAAATTCTGCTTGTCAATGCCATCGCGCCGGGAAATACTTCACACACAAGCCTTGAGCTTGACAAACATTGAATTAATAACGATGTGTGTAGGCATACTGGCACACTCAAGATGAACCGTGCTCCAGGGCCACCGAAACCCGATCTTACGATGGAGGACTTAAAACAGCATGGCTAAACAATAACCAACGCTGGGTGGATGTTATTGGTCGTCTGCGGTGAGGAGAGACAGTCAAAATGGCCTTTAGTCGATCGGCCAAGATATGCTGCCTCAGCCCGCCGGGGTTTGCTAGCAACGGTGAGTGCCAAATTGGTGGGAATTATGTTAAACTTGAGTCGTTTTGTAGCACATTGGTAGCTGCGTAGTGATAATATGCAATGCCACATGAACAAAATATGCATGTACATGTAACGATATGTGTTCATGGTTCGACTTTGCCATGTATGTTGTTTAGTAGATACCATTGTATACATGTATAATTGATTCGTGCTCAATTATTCTAGACTATTGGTTATTATGTCTGCCTACATGTACACGTACATGTATGTATCGTCCTCCAGTGATGTCACACTATTGTTTTTTCTCAGACATAGACATAGTAGGATTCGAACCAGGGATCTTTTAATCCATAGCTCATCTTGATAACCACTAGGCTACTGTGGCAGGTCGATGACTGCCGTTCTTTTAAATTCTTTGTAGCTAATTGACTTAATAAGAACGACGATGTGACGCCATTGTTCTTTTCTCATGAATAAACATAATTTTCCTATTTGAACAAATTCAACAATGAAGATGTATAAAGGCCTTCGTTCAAGCAATAATGAGGAATTCGTGACGGGTGTTAAGTAGGTTAACCCCCTATGCAAACATACATTCTGTGCCAAGTTGTCCTTTCAGTCAAAATTAATCAAATGACTTTTTTCCAACAGTTAAGAATTCCCAGCCTGCCAGTACTAAAGCAGGATTGACTGGCTGCGACTGTTTCTGTAACTTGATACAGCTTTGCTTTGACTGTCGGTAATTGATAAGCCAGCTGTCCCACAACTTGCCTGCTTTGTCTGTTCATGGTCTGTTGACTGAATTTGACTAGTCAGAGTGCTTGCTTGACATATGATCTGACTGCTGGTGACTAGCCTGTGTTAAAAGTATAGCATAGGAAGTGGATGGGTGCTATGGTCAAATGGTTACGGTGTTCAACTCGTGTGTCGTGGTGCATGGGTTCGAATCCTGACCGTGGGAACATGGTGCTTGTGCTCTTGAGCAAGGCACTTTACCATTATTGCTTCGTCCTTCGGATGGGACGTAAAGCCGTAGGTCCTGTGTGTTGTGTAATGCACGTTAAAGAACCCAGTAACACTTATCGCTAAGAGAAGGGGTTTGCCCCGGTGTTTCTGGCAGTGGCTGCTTAATGCGCCACAGCACCTTGCAAACCCTTATAAAGGTGCTACATAATGGGTCTCCTATTTCTTTTGTACTTCATTTACCTGTCTCTAATAATAAACATAATTTCCAGCGCCTTGAGTACCTAATTGTTGGTAGATACGTGCGCTATATAAGACTCCGGTATCATTATGGAAATTTTGACCGTCTGTGGCCGTTTTTAAATGGTAGAAGGGTCATTACACTGGGTAGTGTGCCATTCATGGGTGATGAATGCTCACTCTACAAAAGCGATTATTATACATCGTTGTCTGCTGACTGTATACATTCTGTATAGAATTAAGCACTAACAGAATAATCAACCATGAATATACAGAGTGAGTAAAAAAAAAAACGAAACCCAAATGTTGGGACCATTGTTTTAGTGAAGTTCTGCATGTAGCACTTTCAAAATCTAGGATATGAAAGCCCAATTCATAAGCTTTCTTTTAGTACAAGAATCATTCAAATTACTCGTACTTTTTCAAGTTACAGAATTTTCAACACAACCACCGTTTTAAAGTTCTGCCCAAGGATCACAAGAAGGTAAGTGTTCTTTCAGAAAAACAAAAACAAATCACGTACAACATGTACAGTGTATGGATGTGTGTGAATTGTTTTTGTTTTGCTGAAAGAACGCACACCTTTTTTTGTGATCTGTGGACAGAACTTTAAAACAGTGGTTGTGTTTAAAATTCCGTAACTTGAAAAGTACATGAGCGATCTGAATGATTCTTGTACTAAAAGAAAGCTTATAAATTGGGCTTTCATATCCTAGATTTCGAAACTGCTACACGCAGAACTTCACTAAAACAATAGTCCCAACATTTGGGTTTCGTTTTTTTTACTCACCCTGTATATTGGCAGTGAAATATATACAAAGCATGACCGTACACAAAAAGTTCTCAATAAGAACCCAAACTAACAAAATATTCAGCATTTTGTAGGTAAAGAAATTCGGACAAGTGCTGTTTATTGTGTTGTTACTCGATTGTCCACCTCAATCAAATTACGTGCTATTTCGACTTTGACCCTGAAAAATAGATTTGGTTTTTTTCAATTGCTATTTTCCTAGCAAAATAAAAATTACTCACTTCTGAATGAGACATCGAATGAAAAAAAATCTAACGACGTTTAGTAATTTAATTATTTCTTTACCAAATTCTAATTATATGTGGTCCGACAACTACTTGGCTCTCACAGGGCAGGGTCTTTTGTGTGCAAATGGAATCCCTTATCAGATGGTTGCAAAACCCAACATGGGGAAAAGTATGCATTTTTTTCCCCCGGCTTAAACAAAACATAGGCCTATAAATGAAAAATTTATTAAGAGAATAAAAATCTGGGTTTTTTTTTTTACAGCATGGGGCATGCATCTTTAAATATATTCCGCGAAAAAAAATCAATAAATACGAATTTTAATGACATCTCTGTGACATATTACTGAGTGATATCAATTTTATTTCTTAATCAGAATTTACTGATAATTATATAATGATTTTAAAGGGAATGTACATTGTACATTATTGGCTTTTGCTGTTATTTTTAAAAAGGAACTATTTGAGGGGTTAGTATAATAGATTAAATATTGTTACACTGACATGTTTGAAGTTTTGTGTTCGAAAATGCTGGAAAAGCCAAGAAAAACAAAAACGATCAAGGAGTTTGGTTTCCTGACTCCACTAAAGATGAAATGGATCAATTTATAGACGCCGGAAAATTGTTAGGTCAGGGAACCAGTCTAGCTGGCCTGCACCCATTCATGAACATGTAACCAATAGCAAACAAAATTTTGACTGAACAAAATGGTGAATTTGGAGCAGTAGTTGAAAAATAGTTAGGTTTTTCCAACGGTGGTCGGCCGACCACCGTTGGAAATTTATACAAAAATATCATTTTCTTGAAAATGACTTCACATCAGGTGCCATAATTTTACAGGATGCTTTAGACTGTCATTAACCAACATCCTAGTGAGGTATTTCGTAAAAACTTGGTAGTTTTATTTGTCGATGTTTGCAAATGTTGTATATTCCCTTTTAGTAATTTTTGCTCCACACCGGATGAAAAAATATAAATTTTTTTCAAACAAACCAACAAATAGTCCTCTAGAGCTCATGAATAAATATTGATGAGCTGTAATCTTTTTTCCTTCAACAAAAGATATTACGCTGAAAAATTAATGAACATTATGCTAATGCAGTGGAATGCTAAAAATAGTTCACATTAGGCCAAAAAAAAAAAAAATATTCGGTCTCTGGTCAGACCAAAGTTCCGGAATTGACGCGGGGACGCGGCTTTTTTTTTTTTTTTTTTTTTTTTTTTCCCTTCAAGCTTGGATTGTACAGACAAGGTGGGTACTATTTTGCTTTTTTGGTGTCCTCATGTACATTGGTGTCCTCCATAATTTGCCTTGGTGCTTTCGATCATTTGCCTTGGTGCTATTTCCCGATCATTTGCCTTGGTGCTCTTTGATAAAAAAAAAAAAAATGATAAAAAAAATTGAGGAGGTGCGGCAATAGAGGGCGCTGTTGGAAGTACCGCGGAACATTTTGAAGAAAAAAAATCGACGCGCATGATTAAAATCGACGCGCGCGCTGACCAGAGACCGACTTATTATTTTTTTGGGCCTTACATACATTAAAAATATTTGAGTATTGTCAATCATTTAAACAAATGTTTTGTGACAATTACATGTTGTATGTTTCAGTGGTTCATACTCAAGCAAATTTGTGAGTTTTTTCCACACATACATGTACATGTACGCAACTTTGTCGCACGACAATGTCGTACATTTTTATAAATATGCACAAATCAATGAGCATGTTTACATTTATGTTTACTACATTGTAGGTCGCGCATCTTATCAGTATCAATCATATCGTTACAGTTTTCACGAAGAGACAATTTTGGCAAAAATCAATATATTTTCGAAATTCTGTTTTGGGCCGAAATTGATTAAGTGTATTGCAACGGACATCTTGGCGAATTTATTTTGTCAAAATCAGATGAAATCATTGAGATCATGAGAATCAATAAAGGGAAATTTCACCCAAGTCGTATTTTCAGTTTTCACGAAGAGACAATTGTAGCAAAAATGCACGTTGTTCTATGGGGCAAAATAACGCATGTGTGCGATTTTGAGTTTTCACGAAGAGACAATTTTCGAGCGCGCGCAAGCAAAACGACGCGTGCGGGCAAAACGAAGCGCGTGTGGGATTTTGAGTTTTCACGAAGAGACAATTTGTGCGTGTTTGGATAGCGGAGAGTTTGAGTTTTCATGAAGAGACAATTGGATCATTGCCAATTTTCCCTGCAAACCAATCGCCTGTGGAATTTTGAGTTTTCACGAAGAGACAATTGACTATGAACGTTAATTGCTCCGCAATTAATTGGTCTATTGACTCGCAATTGGTACAATGTGTAAGTGTGAGATTTCAGCTTACTATCAGTATAAAAAAATAATCAACATGTCCTCTAAAAGTAGGCGAAATTTTCAGTTTAAAAAGGGTTCAACTTTAAAGTCGATTTCATCAAAACTATGTTTCAACGCCCCGTGGCCAAAATTGTCTCTTTGTGAAAACTCTGACGATATGTTTGTACATGTAAGTATAGAAAAACATGCAACATTGTCGCACGAGAATGATGTCGCGTACATGCATATGCAAATTGGCCTGAAAACTTTATCAAAAATGCAAAGAAAGTCTGGTTTAACTTGAGGGAGTTCAAATACATGAAATTTAGAAATATGACATGTTTGTCCAAAAAATGAAACAAATACCGCAAAAAAAGAAGAAGAAAAGTCCATACTCTTTGGGGAAACCATCAATTTGAATGTGAAAGTCTGATGATAACTTCATTTATACACACCTTTGGGAAATGTTGTTAGCCACATTTTGACTACCAAAGACTGTAAATCGTCCAAGATTGACAACGGTTTGTGGAAAATGATGCAGTTTGAAAATTTTACATTGAAAGCGCAAACACACATACGTATGCCCGTATTGGTCCCTATCGACTGCACAGTGTCGAACAAAGCGCGGGTAATTTGAATCGCATGCTCCCATGCATGCATATGCACTTTGCGATCGGAATTCCCTGCCGTTCGTTTTGGGCAGTGTCACATTGTCGCACAGCAATTTCCACTTGCGTACTCTTTAAATTTAAAAAGAAGAAGCTGAACCCAAGAAAAATCCAAACAAAAAAATACTGAAATCAAAAAAAAATCCTGACAAAAAAACTGAAATCAGGAACAATCCTGACAAAAAAACCCAGAAAACAGGCAAAATCCTGACAACAAAATTCCTGAAAACAAGAAAAATCCTGACCAAAAAACTGAAATCAGGAACAATCCTGACAAAAAAAACCTGAAAACAGGCAAAATCCTGACGACAAATATCCTGAAACCAAGAAAAATCCTGACAAATAAATCATGAAATCAGGAAAAATCCAGACAAAAAAACCCCTGAAATCAGGAAAAATCCTGACAAAAAAAAAACAGAAATCAGAAAAAAATCCTGATAAAAAATACAGAAACCAGGAACAATCCTGACAAAAAACCCTGAAAACAGGCAAATTCATGACAAACAAAATCCTGAAACCAAAAATTTTGACCAAAAAATCATGAAATCAGAAATTATAATCATGACAACTCTCATCCCAAAGTATTATAATTAAAGGAAGAATCTGAACGAAACAGGATTTCAACCTGTTGCTTTCAGCCCTCTGGAATGGTGATCTAGAGGTTGCTGCTTTAAGTCCAGATCACCTCTATTCCTTTTACATCCTAAGATTAAACAATTACAAATCTTTTTACCTTTAACATGGCCCTTGGTCCCAGACATGTTCGTATAACATCAGCAATTGTCTAAAAAGAAAAAAACATACAAATACAAAGAATTTGTAAGGTTTCAAATTTACCTTTCACCTACTGAAACAAACCAAATCCAACTATGTAAAGGACTAAAACAAACTGCACCTTAAAAGGACCTTCCAAAATTTACAAATGATCATAAATTACATAACTAATTTGCATTTTTGAATTTGGAAAGAATAACATCAATGGTGTTTCAAAAATGAACACAATGACTCATCTGCTCATGTCAATGTGTGAGTTAAAATAATCAATTATTCATACTACCATTGAGTTAAGATACGGCACTCCTAAGATACTATTACCATTTATAACTAAACTTCCTCAATAGCTAACATGGCTAAAAATAAACTTGAGGGCAAAATCTCATTAACTGAGCCTTTTCCCCTTCCAATAATTCTTCTTGGCCATTTAATTTATGTTCATTTATGTACTTATAAACATTTTTATACCAAAATGAAAACAAGTGATTTATAAAATAGGCATACATTTCTTGGATTTGGAAAGAATGTTGCATGACACATGCGCCTGAATACTGATGCCACTTTTCTTTCATTAGTTCAACGAAGGTCAGTCATTGCAAAAACTGTTAAAAAGACATGAATCTGGGACTAAGAAACTTTTCCAATTTTATAAGAAACTACTTGTTTAAAGGCGCTTGACTCTCCATAGACTTTGTACACAACCAAAGAAGTGGCGTCTGGAAACATGTACATCATGATCATGTAGTTCGTTGTGTACAAACATACGAGTGTTCCAGAATATTCCAACGGCCTACACACAAATTAAATGGGCAAAATTGACGAGTCCCTAGCCTTTTCTGAAGACATTCCGAAATATAACACCCGTGGAAGAAATTATAACAATGACACAACAGATTGAACAACTATACCGATAATAAATTTGTATTCGTAATCTTTATTTTCATTTGATAGTTTTGGGGAATTAATCACAGGCGCGCCATGTGCATTTTTACAAAATGGCGTCCTCCATTGCCGACTTACCTTCGCTGCCGTTACGTTGCCAAGCTGCACTTTCCGACCACTTTCTCGCTTCGTATTTTGATCTGAAACACAATCAAATTCCAGTGTTTAATTCACGAATTCCTTCTTAATCTGGGCTTTTAATGAAATCCGAAGAAATATACTTACTAAGGACCAAAATCGGTTGTCCGCCGCCGGGATACATCGTGAATTTTTGTTAGGAATCGAGCTTGATCATGCGGTCTCAGTGAGTCAGTCGTTTTGTGCCACAAGAGGGCGCTATAACAAAATAACGGCGCATCAAGAAAATTCAATTCTTCGAGAAATTTACTAAAACATCACGTCGCATTTATCGCAAGAAAAGTTGTGATGGTCGACTTCATAAGTAACGAGCCGAAACAAATTTGAGATTCAAGTGTTTTATGGGTAAACAAGAGTAAAACAAAAAAACCTTCCGTTGCTATACTTGGGAACTGGAAGAATGTTTGTATAGAAAGATACACCTCCACTTATTAGGATAGGTGGGGGGAGGCGGGGACGAACGACCCACCTCCCCCTATAACAAAATCGACATGAACCATTAATTTTTTTCTTCTGTCCATTTTTAATCCCAACAATGAACATTGGTAAATCAACATTCTTTCGTGATTTCATATGGTGTGTTCTATTCAAACTGATAATATAATTTTGAATGTGTTATTTTACCATCTTATTTTATTAAGGGAATAAATGTGTGCTCCGGAGGTTTTTATCACTCTGTTTAATACCACTTAGAGTCTGGGTGCTGATAATTACCCGAACCGGAGGCGAGGGTAATTACCAGCACCCAGACTCTAAGTGGTCTTAAACAGAGTGATAAATACCGACGGAGCACATATTTATTCCCATTCATAAATACCTTTTCGGTAAAAAAAAATCAACGAATTCACTTCATGCTTTTCGAAACATCCCTCTTGCAAAATAGTGGAGTGTTCAGCTGGCGAGTAAGATATAAAACAACCCTTTTATGGAGATTGACGCGCGCGTATCATGTGCTGCGCGATGTCGCGCAGAACGCACCTGGCGCGTTGCGTTTTGAATTTAGAACTATACAATTCTGACTCCCTGGTAGAGTTGCGCATGCCTACGTGAGGATTGTAAACGTTCAACCAATGACACGATAAGAGTCCCTGGATTTTTAGGAGTCCACATTTCATTGCGACACTGGAAAAGTGTTTAAGACCAGTATCATCCGTTTAAAGACCGGCCACGTGACGGGCTCTCGACCAATAGGAATGGCTAAACTGTCTGAGGTATTTATGAATGAAATATAATTATAGGTCACTTTTTTATATCTACATGTATATATAAAAGGTGGCTATACGGGGCTCAGAAGTTTGTTAAATAGTTTCTAGTGTTTGAAATCAGAGTTAGTCATAATTTTTTTTAATTAATAAAGTTAAGAATGTTTCGATACTTTTTGTTATCTTATTTCTTTAATTAGGGGAGTTGAACTTTCAAACTTTCGAAGTACGTTTTGTCATTATCAAACATTCCGAAAGGGGTGGATGCTATGTAAAATGTCGAACATAAAATCTTGAATGAGCCAAATGCACAGGTTAGTTATTTTACCGATTGATAAAAAATGACTGAACAACTGATAAATAATTGCCTTAATATATTTTTGAAGAAATAATGATGTTTCGGTATTTTATAAAATAGTTTTATAATTTTGTAATGTTTGGAAACCCCTTTATCTAAAATAAACTCTTCCTTCGTGAATCGATCACCGGGGGATTTAATTTACTATCAGTTTCATCAACATACGGAGTTTTGGCTCGATATTCCACTTAAACAAAGAAGTACTCGAGAAATCAACAGGTTTCATACGGAAATGGATATCTTTCGTTAATGCTGAAGGAAGTGTCCATGATTAAACGGCAAATGTACATGGATGTCAAGGCCTCAAAACGTGAGTTTTTTCCCCCGGTAATTCGATGTGTAGCAGTGCATTGATGAATGCGTGTATTGTGTTTACTGCAAAGCGCGCGCTTTGGTTCATTGAGCAAATACACTGAAGTAACACTGCAAAAACTCAAGGATATGCGTCACTTACTTAGTGGAAAAACGGAATCATTTGCTAGACTAAGAAGACATAAAACTTGACGATTGTGTAGGTTACATCAAGGAAATGGTTCCAGGGAGCAATCAACATGGGGGAGGTTTTAGGATTTCGTGGTTTTGAGGCTGCATTTTGGACAAAGTTTTGGCAAACTTCTTGCCGAGTTGAGTATCACTGAGTTACTCGTGGCCGGTCGTGCACAGTGTATTGCTATGGAGTCTCCAGTGCCAAAAATTGTAATAACAAACGTAAAACTTAAAGGTAAGTGTATGTTCCTCCATGGCTTGAGCAAGTCTGTACAGTGTTGGGCTCTTGGTCTTTTTACCGTTGTAGAACACCATGGTCCAGTGGTTACGGTGTTTGACTCATGTACATGTACAAACATGACGAAGGTGCGTGGGTTCGAACCGTACCAGGAGCATGGTGTTTGTGCCCTTGGGCAAGACACTTAACTACAATTGCTTCTCTCCACCCAGGAGTATAAATGGGTACCTGTGAGGGTCGAGGACCGATTGAGCGCTGATATCGGCTGCCACGTAGTCCCATGGCCTGATGAACAGGGTAATAATTTAATATTAATAATTGTAAAGTGCTTTGAGACCGTTGATACGATGGAAAGCGCTAAAGCACAATTATGATTATTTGTTGTGTGTAAACTTGAGTTCATCTTGATTTAAATGTATTTCACTTTATTTGTGACAAAAATACAGGGAAAATGGGAAGGAAATTAGTATCTTCTTGGTTGTGTACAAAGTGAATGGTCAATGGAGCATAGAGATCGAGAGTCCAGTGCATTTTCAAAGTATTTTCTAACAAAATTGGAAATGTTTCTCAGTCCCAGATTCATGTCTTTTCAACATTTTTGCAATGACTGACCTTCATTGAGATAGCAATATATGATGAAAAAAGTGGCGTAATAAGGATGCAACATTATTTCTGGAAAATGTAAGGGAATTTAAAATCTGCAGGGCTGTGCTTGCAGTTGCAAGTTGGATTGGAAAGAATGTTGCAACTTGACGCTACTTCAGCGGCTGTGTACAAAGTTGTAGTAATTCGTGTTTTCTCCCGAAATGAGTTCTACTACTGTTTATCAAGCCTCGTGTCTGTTCTTACAAGTCGTGAAAAACGGCACACAAAATGTTGGTTGTTTACAAGTTTTAATGCTCTCAAAACTCACAAGTTCGTCATGCACCTGCTATCCAATGATTAACAAACTTCTGGAAAGTCAGTAGGTTTAAGCACACATCAATTGACTGAGTAAAACTTGGTTGAGGAAACTTTCAACGTTGGAATAAGACTTGCACAAAGCAGAATGAAAACGATAAGTGAAAGGTCACCAACATGTCACACTGCGCAAACGCAGCACAGCGAGAGTGAACTCCGGTGCCTATGGCAACCAAAACTTATTAACATACTTATTTGTATGGAACGCCTGTTGGAGCTAAAAGAACAAACACTTAATTATATACACATGTACATGTCACTACAGTAGCTCCCCTCTAGATTGTAAGAGATAAATGAAACAATCGATACAAGCAGTTGATAATAACAGTCAGTGACAGTCGAATTGCTCATATTTGGCTGGCCAGTGAACTCGTCGACCAGCTCTGGTGGCTCGTTGTGGAGGAGATGGCGTCTCTGGCGATGGGGGTTGTGCAACCGGCAAAACAGTTCTCGCGGGGGCGTTCTCGCGAATCTGTCGGGAAGACGACGTTTCTGTGGATGGGGGGTGTGATTCTGGCAAAACAGTCCTTGCGGGTGTGTTCTCGCGAATCTGTTGGGAATGCGCGTTTGTCCAGTCGTCATCAAGATACGCCACTTTCAGACGATCCTTGGCAACCGCATCCCGTCTGCCGTTGAGGTCCAAAACAAAGTATTTGCTGGCGCGCTTGATGATGCGAAATGGTCCATCATACGGAGGTTGTAGGGGTGTTTTCACTGCATCATGCCGAACAAAAACGTGTGTGCACTTGTCTAGGTCAGCTGGAATGTGTGATTGTCGCTGTTGTGGCCTGGGCGGAGTGGGACGAATGTCCTGCATGTGACAACGCAGCCTGTGAACATACACACTGGGGTCGAGCTCAGCATGATCATTGCTAGGCACAATAAACTCACCAGGCAGCCTGACTGTGGTACCGTACACCATTTCTGCTGGAGAGAAACCGATATCTGACTTGATAGCGGCTCTGATGCCTAACAGGACGAGGGGAAGAGATTCCGTCCAACGTGGGTTAGCATGAGTCTTTAGCGATGCCTTGAGTTGTCTGTGTAGTCGCTCTACCATCCCATTTGCAGCAGGATGATATGATGTAGTGTGAATTCGTTGACAACCGAGCATGTCAGTGAGCATTCGAAAAAGTCGTGACTCGAACTGGCGTCCTCTGTCGGTGGTGATGGTAGCTGGTGCACCGAACCGAGAAACCCAGTGGGTAACGAATGCATGGGCCACAGTCTCAGCAGTCATGTCAGGAATGGGGATCGCCTCCGGCCAACGTGTAAATCTATCCACACACGTAAGCAGGTAGGACTGTCCGGCTGACGGTGGAAGGGGACCGACTAAATCGATGTGTACGTGTGAGAATCGTGCGTCGGGTGTGGAGAACGTACCAAGTGGCGACTTGATGTGGCGATGAATTTTGCATTGTTGGCACTTGCGACAAGTCTTAGCCCAAGCGCGAACGTCTTTGTTAATACCAGGCCACACGAACCGTGCAGTAAGTAACTGCTGTGTGGTCCTGATACTAGGGTGCGACAGTCCATGCAAAGCGTCAAAAACTGTTCGACGAAACGGGGCTGGGATGAAGGGTCGAGGCGTCCCTGTGGAGGTATCACATAGAATGGTACCCTGCGATGTCTGGAGGGGGACGGCAGTTAGCTGGAGAGAGGTGTCAGGGAGATGTTTCAACTCGTCGTCATCGATCTGTGCTTGAGCGATGGCGTCGAAATTGATAGTCGCGTTCGTTGGTAAGGCATTAACCTCCAGACGAGAGAGTGCATCCGCCGCTGCATTATCATGGCCGCTGATGTGTCTAATGTCCGAGGTATACTGGGATATGAGGTCAAGTTGTCGAATCTCCCGAGGAGAATGGCGGTCTAGTTTGGAGTGTAGGGCGTACGTAAGGGGCTTGTGATCAGTGTAAGCGCGGAATGTCCGTCCCTCCAGCATGTGTCGGAAATACT